ACTACTGCAATTACCACTGGCATTTATGGATAGTAATCCGTGGACATGCAAGTCCATGTCATACTTGATCCCGCACAGCGGAGTGCTCTACCTGAGTTGGGCATTGGGCATCTGTTTAACTGTACTAATACAGCCGTTCTTTTGGTATTATTGAATGTAATGCTTTGGGCTTATCAGGAAGAGATATTTCATTGCAATAAAACAAAGATTTGAAGTAGAAGTGATGGGCATTGTCATTCTGTTTTAGTATAGAATCTATATATTATGTCCCATTTTTCGGAACTTTCTTGTCGGCAACTGTTGTCGGCAACCATTGCCTCCACACTTTTGTAAGTATATTTTCTTTATTTACTTTAGTTTTTGACTGATCTACTCTCTTTTTAATAATTATAGGACGATAAGCTCCAGGTATTCATGGAAATCTAGGCAAGTGATGTGTCTTTAAAGGCTACCGTCTTTGTTACTCACGTCACTCTAACCAAATAGCTACGAACGGCAATTCTACAGGTGTCTGCGGTGGGCACACGGACCGGAGGGCTGCAATTTCTTCAGATGGGTCGACAGTACATCCATTTCTACGCTATCTCAACTGGACACTGCTGCTCGGAGTTCGACATTATCATAACTTGATAATACCGTTTAAGGTTCGAGTGCATCCGTTTCTACGATATCCCAGTCGGACAAGTTTGCTCAGGGTTTTAGGGTGTCATAACAACATTGGCCGTGATATTCTTCTACATTTTAAAGTCAATATTGTCATTTTTTCTTTATAATTTTAACATGTTATTTTTTTTTTTTTTTGTCTCATGATACTCAATATTAGTGTGTGAAGGTGTATTTTACTTTTGTATATGTAACTGTTTTTTTGATGTGATCGAAAAAATTTGAGTGATATAAATGTAACTCAACTCTTTTATATTTTCATGTCTTAAACATTTAAACTTTAATTTCACAAACTTGTCACATTCCACATAAATTAATGTTATATCGCAATTTTTGGGTGGTTTGTATGTGTCAGATGAGCATGAAAGGGGTTAATTGGTTATAAAATATCTAACATGTATACATTGTCGTTTTGTTCAGAACATTACAATTTCTGTGTGACAGATTATTCATTTAACTAAAAAAATTTGTAAATCAGTTGTTTACAAAATGTACAAACCAAACAGCTAAACAATTTATCCAAAACAGAGGCAGAATGGTCATTTATACAGAATCATCTGTTTTCCAAACGCACAAACCAAACAGTCAAACAGCTTATCCAGATCAGCTGTTTATCAGCAGTTTATTAGGATAAGTTGGATAACCTGCAGCTGCCCCAAACAGACCCTAAATCTTTCAATGCTCCCATTAGTTTTATATTTAATGTTGAGTACTCATTTGCATCCAACTAGCTTCTCATCTTGAGGAAGTTTAGTAAGAATCCATGTGTCATATTTTAGATATTGAATCTCCTCTTCAACTGTTTTCCTTCATTCTAGATTTTCAAGGGCTTCATAAATGAACTTAGGTATCTCCAAACTATCAATATTGAATATAAACGCTCTATAGGTTGAGAATAGCTTCCCATATATTACATACTCCTGAATTCGGTTGTCTAGTATGGCTTTCCTTGTCATCAGCACAAGAAAAGGAAGAGTATAACGCGTGAATACTAGACTTCTCTCCCAAAACTTAAAGTAAATGTGAACTCGAGTTTTGATTGAGGCAGTTATGTATTTGCAAGTAGTCTTCCACCTGCTCAAGATTTTTCTCCCTCCTTGTAACACAAAATTCTTTGTTATGGACTTTAGATAGATTTGTTTAGGCATTCTCAACAAGGATCAGAGTGTTAGGTGGAAGAGATAAAAGAGGAGTAGGTTGTGAGGCTGTTTATGTGCCTTCAAGTGTATCCCAAAATTAATGTTCATTTGCACTCTCCCTTTGAACATTCGATTTGGGATAGTAAGATTGATTTTCAAAAAAATGGCATCCATGAAGTTGTATTTTCGGATAACTAACGAGTAACACTAATACCTTTTTTATTGGACGCATACCCAAGAAAAATATACTTGATGGAAGGTTGAATTTTGTGCGATTTGGGAAATAGATTGAACAAAGGCAAAAGATTTCAAGTGATACATCAGAAGAGAAAGCTCTAATGTGGGGATAGGTAATCATTAAAACATGATGTGATATTTTGCAGTTAATTACTCGGCTAGGCATTCAATTTATAAGGTAAGTTGCAGTAAGAATTGTTTACCCCAAAACATATTTAAGAACATCATAATTGAGTGATATATCTCAACGAGATGCATATTCTTTTTCTCAATAATCCCATTTTGTTGTAGGGTATCAATGCATGAACTCACATGGATGATTCCATTTGTTGAAAGATAGGCTCCAAGGATTGAGTTGAAATATTCCTTTGCATCATTAGTTTTGAGGATTTGTATTTTGCATTGGAATTGAATTTGAATCATGTCATAGAAGGTTTGGAAGATTTGGGTTATTTCAGATTTCTCCTTCATTAAGAATATCCAAGTATTTCTAGTATGATCGTCAATAAATGAGACAAACTATCTAACCCCACTTAAAATTTTCACTTTTGAAGATCCCTAAATATTAATGTGGATAGTGAAAAAAGGGTTTGAGGATTTATGATGTCATGAGATAATTATTTCGAGTTTGTTTGACAAGTTGAAAAATATCACATTCATAAATATTAAATTTTTTATTGATAAAAAAAAGAGAAGATAAACCTAAGCAATACAATTGAAATTAGAAAGACCACGGCGACAATGTCATGCCATTACTTGTTTTTCAATAAAATAGTCAACGGACTCAGAAATTTGAGATAAATGTGGAGATGGGATCATTTATGTATTCAGAGAGAGACTTTTCTTAAGTAGGTATAAGCATTGATACATTCCAACATTGTCAATCACCTTCCACAATTCTATCACCTGAAATTCACCGAGTTAGCAAAGAATTTAGTTATATATTTCTTATTATATTTAAGCTTATTGATTATAATCAATTTGGAATCCAATTGTGAAACATATAAAACAAAGGTGTAATATCCTAATAGAGCTCCACATCTCCTTTCTCGACAATGTTTAAGTGTCATATGTCAGCAAGTCTTACCGATCTAGATGTAGAAACCTAATGCTAGCTAACTAGAGCATTGATGTCTTTGATCATAAGATCAAGGAGTTTCTTCAATACTTCAAGCAGTTCATTCCTGAATGGTTTAACCAATCCTTCAGATGTGATAACAACATTAGTCTTTTCTCATGATCTTTCCTTCCATGTGCAGATTTTCAGTCTGTAGATCCATGAAGTTCCCAACATTTGTCATTGATATAAACAATCTTCTTGAAATAGTCACATGTGAGGCGGTTCTTCTTGAGCTTTGAGACGAGAAGAATTATGGGTATACGGGGCTGAGCTTTTAGTACTTGGAGAACCCCTAGTTACAATCAACATCAATTTTTGCCTACTCTCTTCTCTCCTGACTTCAGCAAAGGCTTCACGGGTAGATGGAAGAAGTTTTGTCCCTATGATCCTCCCTCTCACTTCATGCAATTCTTAAGTTAATCCTACTAGGAATTTGATGGTTCTTTTCTTCTCCATGATGGATTTAAATATCACAATATAATGTGAATATTTCCACACATTTGTCACAAATATATCCAATTGTAGCCAATACTGTCAAGATGTTGAAGTATTGGGTAACACTTAGTTCTCCTTGATAAATGTTATGAAGTTTGGTTTCGATCTCAAACAACTAAGCAGTATTCTCAATGTTGGAATATATTTCTCTTATAGCCTCCCAGATTTCCTTGTCAATTTTGAAGAGCAAGAAAATTTCAACCACTTCAGCGGACATGAAATTGAGTAGCCACGACATAATCATATGATCTTGATTCTTCCATGTTCGTTGGTTGGGGTCTCAGAAATTGTACCCTCCCGTGAGATGTTCCTCTTTCCCATACATAAACACAAATTGGGACCATTAAAGGAAGTTATGGCAATTAAGTTTATGATTTGTGATAAAGTTAGCCGGTTCAGAAGTCGTCCAGATAGAATCCTTAGTTTATGATTCAGAATTAACCTCGGAGTAGAACTTAACGGTTTCATCCCGTACTTGATCAGCATCCTTTATTGTATTCAAGATTGATTCTAGTCGTTGGACTAAAGTTCACTGTAGTTGCTTGTTGTCGCTACTGCTACTACTTTTGCATGTTGTCGCCGCTGTTGCTTCTGCTACTGCTGTTGCTTTTGCTTGTTGTCACTACTACTGCTGCAGCTGTAACTACTAGGTGCTGCTTACTAGCGCTATTGTTGTTGTTGTTGCTACAGGGAGAAGATGCTGGCAAAGAAATATAGAAGAATACAGAAGAGGGATCCAGCAGGGAATTATGGTTGAGTATGCCGGCAAAGATTGGTCTGCAACAGAGAAAACTGGATAAAGGAAAGATTTCTGGTGGTAGAGAAGAGCACGGGATTTCTGCTACAAAAAAAAAAAAAACCAGAAAAGGGGGCCTGCAGGTACGAGGTCCGACGATCGAAGGGAGATAGGGTTTGTATTAGGGTTCTAATATCACATAGAAATTACTTCGGGAGGAAAATTGTACTTTTTTTACTATTCACATTTAGGGTAAATATATATAGGGAGACTAATCCCTCCTAATTTACAAACTTACCAAAAAAACATCTAATCTATAGATGGAAAGTAAATATTCTGAAATAAAAAATAACAAAAGGCATAAATATGAAGAAAATAAAGCTAATTAAAAATTTCCAAAAAATATCTCCCAATCCAATCTTGGGAGATTAAAGAGGGGCCAATTGGCCCATCAATAATCCTTCCAGAATTTCCACAAAACTGCAGCAAATAAGATAATAGCAATCACGTCCATTGCTCATTGCAAAAAACACAAAAAAACAAAAGAGCAAACCTAAAAGAGATGAGTTTCAAAATATATTATCATATTAAAAAGCAGGTCATTAGTTACCTTTATTTCATCCCCACGAAGGCGCTTCATTTTTAGATTCTGTACAAGTATCTGTTTAAAAATCTTAATGTTAAGCAAATGGATGGTGCTTGCAAAGCTAACCAACTATAATATCCTACTTTAGGTTAAAAAACATAAAAAAACACATTAGTGGCAATGAAAAAAAGAAAATCAGACAACATAAGTTCAACCAAACAGGTATGTGAGGAGTTACTCGTATTAATGCCTAAAATACTTCCATTGACAGATAGATCAACCACCTGGCACTGCAGCAATAGCCTAGCGGCTAGCATAAAAAAACAGTGGCAACCCTGCAAGCAGCTGCAAATGGAGGGAGAGCAGTCGGAATCATGTTAAAGAGCATAAAATCATGTGGCCTGATATTTGAATGCAATATGGTGCCAGCAGGAACTGAAAATTTGGCCAACATGATGGCTCCATGCTTGCAATCGAGGAGACAAAATGGTTGTGGTAGCAAAGAAATGGCAACCATTTTTTGAAGATTGAGAGCTATAATTGAAATCCTACGTTTGTTTTTTCTCTATTTCATTTTTTTTCTCTGCTGTCCATTATCTCAATATTTTCATTTTGCTTCCATTTTCTTCATTTTCTTCGTTGTTTATTGAACTTGCACATCATTTTAAAATTGTTGCCCCAGCCAACATAAGGTCAACCTTCCTCGTAGATTTTTATAATGCAGATTTTACTGTTAAGGTGCTCAGTCTTCTTGGAAACAGGATCAAGTCAGCATTGCAGTACACAAGCCAGTGGACATCATCAATGTTCTAGGCCAACTTCAACTCACTGAAAACTCACCTTCTTCCCAGCAGCCAGTCATTCCAACCATCTTATCGATCTTGCCATCATATCAGCTCTAAAGTTTTTATAGCATCCTAGAAAGAGTCCCCAACTTCTCTTGAAATACAAAGATACATTCATTTGGGAAGAAGACAATAAATGGTATTTTAGACATTTGGGGTTGGTTGACAGCAATATTAGCACAAAGGTCCAATTTACATCTTTAGAAAATTCATCATTCATTAGAGTTCTCTCAAGTAACTGGAGTCAAATTTATAAGTGATTTTTCTCCATTCAATCATGTTGATGTTAGCCCTAACTAATGCAAGTCATTTTACTCAAGTTATAGACATTTTATATATGATATATCCTTTTCCTACTGAATCCTTTCACATTCACTTGAACAGAAATTGTTAATGTTGTATACTAACCAGCTTCTTCCCTTTGTTATATCTACTCAAATCATCGAAAATAATATTCTAATTTCTTATATTTAATGGATGTTACTCCCTTTCTATAATCTAATCAACTCACTCTTCTCTTTTCTAATTGTATATCGCATCCATCTTAACATTTTTATTTCAGTAACTCTCAACTTGATTTTCAATGGCTTATTAGCATAGATCATAGCCAGGTTTATTGTAGTTTTATCAATACATATTGCATGGTACTGCTTCATTTTATATCTAAATTTTTAAAAGTTATTTCATCCTTCTTCTAAACAAATTTTGGTATAATAGATTCACTGTATAAAATATATCATGCATAGGCGACACTTCTCATTCAAAAATAATTAAATGCCATATCAATTTCACATTAATTAATACATATCACATCCCAAATCTTTATTTAATTAATCCTAAGCCACCGCTCTCCAAAAGAAGTCACAATCATTCTAACTTTTCCCTCTCTTTAAAAGAGAACACATCCACGAGTTAAATCATTTGCAAATATTATAGCATATATGAGGTTACATTTTAGACAATTTTTAATGCATCCCTATAAAGAAGCATATAAGGGCGAGGACATAATTTTGATATTGTTGTAATCTTATAGAGCTTGGAAGCTCTTTGTCCATTTTGCAATTACCTCTAATGTTAGGGTTTGTTTAGGGCAGCTAAAACTATTTGAAAAAGCTGCTGATCAAAAAGCTACGGTGACTATTATTAAAAAAAAATGAAAAAGTCAGACCGTAACTTTCTAGCATCCACCACACTTAGCCAGATCTGGTAGCAAAACGTTGCTTTTAGCTGCAACTTTTTGAAAAAACAAGCAGACCACAATTTTGTCGAACTAAAAAAAATGTGATGCGACACTGCACCACGGCCCCAACGCACCCTACAAATCACATCCCAAGTCTTTATTTAATTAGTCCTAAGCCACCACTCTAAAAACGGTCACAATCATTTTGACGTTTTCCTCACTTTAAATAAGAATACATCTACCAGAGTTAAATTTGTGAATGGTATGGCATATACCAAGTTACATCTTTGAGCAATTTTACCATATGTATGTAACGAAACATAAAAGGACAAGGGCATAATTTTGATATTGATGTAATTCTATGGTGTTTTGAAGCTCTTTGTCCGCTCTACAATTACCTAGGAATGTTAATCTTTTCTCCATCATATGCATATTTAATACCTATCACATCCCAAGACATTAATTAATTAGTCATAAGCCAACACTCCCCAAAAAGTCACAATCATTCTAACTTTTCCCTCACTTTAAAAGAGAATACATCTACGAGAATTAAATCATTTGTGAATAGTATAGCATATCCCAAATCACATCTTCGAGCAATTTTTACCATATCTTTATAACAAAGCATAAAAGTGTTAGGACATAATTTTGATATTTATGCAATCCTCTGGTGCTTTGAAGCTCTTTGTCCACCGTACAAGTACCTCTAATGCTAATCTCTTCTCCATCATATGTATCTTTAATACAATCACATTCTAAGTCCTTATTTGATTAGTCCTAAGCACCATCACTCTCCAAAAAAATTCAATCACTCTAACTTTTCCCTCACTTTAGAAGAGAACATATCTACAATAGTTAAATCATTTGCGAGTAGTATTGCAGATAACAAGTTGAATCTCTGAGCAATTTTTACTATATCTTTAAAAGGATAAAAGAGCAAGGACATAATTTTGATATTGATGTAATGATATAATGCTTTAAATCTCTCTGTCCACTCTACAACTATATTTGATGATAATCTCTTATCCATCACTAAGTAAATTTAATATATATCACATCCCAAGTCATTATGCATTTAATCTTAAGCAACCACTCTCCAAAAATAGTCACAATCATTCTAGCATTTCTCTCACTTTACAAGATAGCACATCTACGAGAGTTAAAACATTTGGGAATAGTATAGCATATACCAAGTTACATCTTTGAGAAATTTTTACCATATCTCTACAACAAAGCATAAAAGAGTAGGGACATAATATTGATATTGATGTAATCCTATAGTGCTTTTAAGCTCTTTGTCCACTCTACCTCAAATGACGCAAAAGCTTCCAAGAGTCGCATGACTCCACAGGTCGCAGGATTCCGCCGATCGAGGGATTTTGCAGGTAGCAAAATCAATCCTACAATTGTCGGCTGCCGGGAGAGGGGTCGCAGAGCTTCTCGATTTTCTTCTATTTCAGCATATTATTTCCTTTCGATTTATTTCAAACTTCCTTATTCCTAATTAGAGTATTTTCTATCGTGAGACTATTTATATACATATTTTTATCTATTTTGGAGGACTTTTCGCTTATTATTGTGTTTTTAGACATTGTATTCTTTGAATTCTACTATAAGAAGTGTTGTATCATCTTCCTTTTGCAAGTGTATTTGTATCTTGTTCGTGAACGGGTGGTGGATTCTCCTCGCCACCCAAACTTCACTATGTCACCATTTGATTGGTGTTTTCGATCCAGACAACTGTCGCATGAGCCAAATCTGTTGTCCAACAATAAATATCGCCTCATGACCCGTTCAAATGTTGTCACCCTCCCATATTTACCTTCCCTTGCTATCCCACAACTATCTCTCTGCTAGAACCGCTTCCTAAAAACCTTCTATAATACTTAGAATAGTATCACTTAGTCTTTATTTAATTAGTCCTACGTCACCACTCTCCACAAAGAGTTGCAAACATTATAACATTTCCCTCACTTTGAAAATAAACGCATCTACTAGAGATAAATCATTTGCGAATAGATAGCATATACCAAGTTCATCTTTAAGCAATTTTACCGTATTTCTATAACGAAGCACAAAAGTGAAAAGGCATAATTTTGAAATTGATCTAATCCTGTAGTGCTTTGAAGCTCTTTGTCCACTCCATTATTAACCCTAATGCTAATCTCTTCTCCATCATATGTATCTTTAATAATAATATTAGGTTTTTTTATTTTTTTCTCTTGAATGCCATCAATTCAAATCTTATGGTACTATATCTTATCATACTCCTAATGCAAGTTATTGATTGATAGAGATATGCATGTTTATACTTTTCAAAAGCGCCAGGTAAATAATGATCTAAGCAAGTTTATTTTAAATCCATTTACTTCATTTGTTTTTATTTTGTAGTGTAAATATCAAATTTATTGCTTAAATATGCCTACGATGATGAATTCCCTTGAGAACTGGATGTGTAATTTAATAATATAAGTCCGTGTAACTTCTCATTTGGTTTAGTTAAAATGGTTTGCTTTCTCACTTGGTTTAGTTTAAGTGGTTTGCTTTATAAGTTTTTTTCCAAATTAATTATATAAAATAGATGAGTAATTCCTAAATCATTATCAATCTTGGTTTTGTCCGTATTCTAGTGCAATGACAGCTTGCCACTCGAATAGTGTGACTGGCCTGAAACTTTTATCATGACTGCAACTATCTCTGGCAGAGACTTTTTGTAGCAGGCTGCTACCATCTTTGATATTGCTGTATTTTATTCTTTTGCCATTTTATATTGGCATTTCTTATCTAGAAAAATTCCAACTGTTTTATGTTTAGACTTGTAAGGTTTATCTTTGGCATGAATTGTGACTTAATATTAGTTTTGAGTCTAAATTGACCATGATGAGGCATCCAACTAGGGATTTTGGATGAGTATAAATTTTAAAATTTGAGGCATGCAATGAGAGAATCTTTGCCTTGATAAAATTTATATTTCCTCTTCCCCATTGTGTGTACCTATTGGATGCTGGATTTAATCAAGTATTATGGAGTTTTATTTCTTTGCACTAGTGTGAAGCGCAATTTTCTATTATTTGGGGGACAATTTTCTTGATTCTTTTCTTCTAAATATCTCATACTTGATTTTACAAGCAATTCTAATTTTAGGCAAATCAATTACAGCTCAACTTTTAATTGAAAGTGTGAATTTTCAATCAACAGACCATTTTTTTTCAATTTTTCAATGATTTTGTTAGATTTAATTGATACTGAATTATCATTTTATTCCGAATTCTCATATTTTGAGTTTACACAAAAAAATTAAAAAAAAATTAAATTACTTATTAGTGGGCTTTCACATGTGAATCCTAAACTACTTTGTCTAAGCTTCGCTAATTGCAATAGGAAACTTATACCCTAAATTATCTTGCATCATTGATCATCATCACCATAATCATTATTAGCTTTATCGCAACCATGTGAATCTTTTTTTATTAAGCGTTCCTAAATAATGATTCTTGTTGAATGCAGCATATGTTGTTAACTCTATTTCGTGAAAAGTTTTTTATGCAACTTAAAGACATATTACTTCTGTTATGCCCTTATTTTATATCATAGTAAACTAATTAGAACTAAACATTGAGAGCAATAGTGTACATGCCCAATTCATTTATTTCTAGTTTTCACAAAGTGTATCTTCTATGGGTGATGTTGCACCTTCCTTTTAATATATTTATTTTATTATACTATTGGTAATATTTTTAGGGCATATCAATCCTAAATTATTTTATTTTTCCAACAGTTGACTATCAATGACTTTGAACATACAAGCCGCAATATGTTTGCTTGCAGCTTCATAGAATTTACGATCAAGACTCTTTGATTTTCGCATTTCTCCTAAACATTAAACATTACTCTAAATATTACCCATATTAAATTCTAGAAGTACGTAGACATCTACATTCAAATTTCTTCGTATTACAAATACAAAAAGCTTGAACTTACACAACTAGAAATCTTAAAATTTTATATATACTGACTGATAATTTTATCAATTCTAATATATTAAAATTGTATCCACTATTCTAATTTTCCTTTACATAAGAGGTCTCAATTATCAAAACAACATCTTCTGAAATAGCATACAATATTGTGTTTTATTTTGAGTATCTTGTGTACCATTATAAAGATAAAGGCAAAAAAAATGTGAGATGAAAAATCATACATTATAATGATAAGCTTACATACATCAAGAAAGTTTATCATAGATAGGGATTTCAAAAAAAAAGAAACTCGGGCACATTAGCAAGGGGGCTGAATGCCTATTTAGACCTTAATTATAAGTCATCATAAAACCTTACATGCAAGATGGGCAAAAAAAATGCACCAACCTTTTTCCTTTCTTGACGGATAGTTTTTCGTTTAGTTTGCTTCATATCCATCAAAAATTCATCAAAACTACCAAGAAAGGCAAGAGTGTTAAACATCCAATCAAGGACATTATATTGCTCATCAAATTTCTATATGAACGAGTAAGCTTAGATACATTTACCATGTAGAAAGTAATAGTACGAAAGCTGAACACAGCTATAACATGAGAATGGTGATAACACAACATTTACAGCACAACAAAGTCTGCATTTGCTGTAAAATATGATTGCATAAATGATAAAAGGAATATTTCCAGCAGAAAAATCAGAGTTATGAAACAGAAATTGCCATATGTTTTTTTGTCCACCTCCAAATTATGCAAAATACTACACAGTTGAATTTAATTCCAACTTATTATCACAAAAAACACCTTAATGATAAAGTAAAATTTGCTATTTAATGCAAGATAGATGGAAATGGAAAAAATATATCTCCTGAACCAAAAAAAAAAAATGTTGCACAAGCATGGGCAAAGTAATAGACTAATTGAGAAAAATGGAACTTTCCGAGACACCTTCTTAAGAGAATAGCTAGAACTGATGTAAGGCTTATAATATAAACAGTAAAGCTATATACAAGTATGAGCGGGCAGTTGATATCCTTCTCATTTATGAAGCTAAAAACGTGACAGATACACGCCCAAGAACAATTACGACATAACAGTTTTTCAGGCAAACTATAAAATGCCATGGCTCCACTAGCTAGCAACAAGTGCTGTCACCCTGATATTAAAATGAAGGGAAAATGCAATGATTTGATTTAAATTTTTTTCATGAATTCAGTATTTGAAAAACTTCCTATTCTCTACGGAAGAGAAAATGGTTCGCAATCTACGTGTAGGACAAGATGGCGAAAGAAATGAGATTCTAAACTAAAATAGGTCATCAATAAAGCATACATGGGCGATTAAAATCCATCTGGCAAAACAGGTAAGTTATTTACCGTAACATTATAAAGACAAATTATAACACCACATTCATTACTGAAAATAGAATGAGCATCAGGAACAATGCACTCATCATAAATAGCAAATCAATTGGCAATTATTAAACAATGGAGAGTAGACCTTGTAAGAACTGGTGCAACTTACTTTTTATAATTACGGTTTTTCCAGTGATATTGCATTCCTATTCTCTGTAGAAATCCAAAAGTTTTCATCTGAGTCCATTCACTTTTGGATGGGAAGGTGACATGCAATGATGACAACTGAAACTGTCAAATAATAATTACAATTTCTCAGTTCGCTAACATATCGTCAACAATTGAGGCATTCCATCAATCGTGAAGAGTAACAAATGCGAATGATAACTCATTTTGCTTGTGCGTACTTACATGAACCAAATGCATAAGCATATTTTAATACTAAATTAAAGAAAGGTGTCATTTTGTAACAAATATATATATATAGGCTAACAAATATATATAGGCTAACAAATATATACAAGGAGGGGGGGGGTGAAGGGGGTTAATACGTGAAATAACTCAAGGAAGCATGTAGCGTAATGTTAACTTAAGCCATCCAAGGAAAGAGGTTATAGTGCTTAAAAGTTTCAGTATGTTCTGTAATATATCTCAATAAATTTATGAATGCCAAGTAAAATGCCTGCCATTTTAGGAAATATCAGCTCTTCATATCCCTTTTGGACATCTAATGTCAGTCTTGTAGTTGCTCCTCTCAACGTCTGCAAAAAGACAGTTCAAGGCACCACAACCTCATATTTTGTATGAATGCTCGTTTTCTTGGACTCACTACTTCCTAGAGAGCTAAATGTTAATTCAGTTGGAATCGCTCCCATGGGTCACTTGGAATGGCTAGTGTCCCTTCCATGTCAGTTGGAATTTGAGTCTTCTCTGAAATTTTCCTCTTTTCTTGGATTATTGTTTATTTCTTCAACTGCTCCATGATCAGTGAAAAATATCATTCTCTTGGTTGTAAATCTGATTCAATAAACTCAAATTTGTGGCACTTAACACACTTTCTGTCGGGATGAATTTCAAAATGCAAATCGGTTCCACCTATTCTTGACTCTAAATCAATTTCTCCTCCAATGAGGGCTGGAAGTTCCCCTGGGCATAATCTTTTTGCCAAATCCTAAGTTGAATTCTGCCTATAAGGTATATCAACCATCTGGAGATGTTGTCTCTCCATTTCTTAAACTAGAATTTGCACATCTTGGCATCCCTCGTTTCATCTTTAGACTAAATAGTGAACTTGTCATTTCCCTCACGCTAGCGTAGGTGATTCAAATTTTCTCATCAAAAAATACTCTTCTTTAAATTGTAGACAGTTAGTTTCACCATTTTGTTCAATGGGACGCCTTAGTACTCCAAGAAAAGTTCCACGGTCTGAGATCACTTAATGAACTTGTATGGATCCCATTGGACATCAAAACATGGCAAATCTCCATCTAATCCAAAATCATGGCTTCTCAGATATTTTAGGTCAAGTATTTGAGGTAGAGGTTCTTCATCCCTGAAGTCCGCATGGTGGACGAGATTCGCTCTATTCCTTCAATCTAACAAGTTATCATGGTAGCTACAGGTAACCCTTCCAGATTGCCTCCTTTCAAAAGCAACAAGCCTCTATTGTAGTTGGAGAATTTCCTGCCACACATCCACCATAGAAGGTTCCTGGACATCTCTTCGCAAATTTCTCATAAAAGGAATCATGACATTTACCCCTAATTAAGTCTTCAGCAATTATCTCTTCAGTAGAATGATTAGGGTTTGGGGTTTAGGTAACTAGACAAGGCTGTGTAGAGTGGGAAAGAAAAATTTTGGGGTGGAGATAAGGTACGATATGGATGGATGCTAGAAACACTAGGAACGGACTAGGGTTATGTTAACTCTGATATTAAATGATATCAATATTCACCCAAATAAAAATAGAAATGAAAATATTATTACGGAAAAGGGCAATATATGGTTACAACCACACACACTAGACAAACCACACACACTAGACAAGAAAATACAACAAAAAACTAAGTACAACTTAATGTATCCAAATGTGGTTGTCTATTTGGTGAGTGGATGCAAGAGGAAGGCGATGAGGATGTGAATGGTCGTAGGAGGAGAAAGGGGAAGTTGTGGGAGATTGCAATGTGGGAAAAGTAGAAGTTGGTCGGCTGAAAGACAGCATGCAGAGGCTGGTTGGAAGTTGTAACAGTAGTAAATAGCCAGGAGCAGTTGTTCGGGGCGGCAACATCGAGTGGTAATGACGCCAGCGGTGACAGGGATTGCATGTGACTACAAGACCGGAAAGGGAGAGCTTTACCGAGGCTATGGCAGTGAGGGGGATGGTTCAACAATGAAGACGGGCAGTCAGAATGAATGGAGGTAAGGTAAGACTTGGTTGGAAGAGATGGCATCAAGCGGAGGAGTTGGTGGCCGACGGTAGGAGTTGCAAGAGGACAGCAGCGTTGTTGTTTATTAGTTCAAGCTGTGAGGAAAGATGGTGACGGCAGCAAGGGCAGGAATATAGAGGAATGAAAAGTTGCAGATAAATGCCCACAAAGGAACAAGCAAGCTACAGTAGAAGCACCACTCAATCCCTTGGAAGGAGATCATCACTTCGGACAAGCTACAACCGGAGCACCACCCACCTTTGGACACACCCCTACAAGGGGAAAAACTGGATGCTGACGACTGTTCTAACTGAAACAAAATCCAGAATTGCACTTAAAACACAAAAAAAACATATTTAGAGACTTAGGGTAGATATGAGTAGACATAACTCCAAATAGGAGGTAAATCCACATTAAAGAGGTGTCGGCCGGCCCACTTGGACCGATCCAAGCCACACTCGCCCAAAGGAATTTGTGGGACTGTAGCAGATACCGCAAAAAAGTCCCTGCAGGAAGTTTCAAATGTAGTACTATAGCAAGGCAGAAGAATCCCATGTCATCTCGATATCAATCAGGGAACTGCATTGCAACACCCAAATAACAAGCAATTCCATAGCAATGTTCTTTGAAAAGGCTATAAAATAAATTAAAATTGATACATAACCCAAAATTCATCATTCAAGAAGAAAGAATTGAACAAAATAAGCATTTCACCTATGGGCTTATTTTTGTGTTCAAGTTGTGGTACCCTATGAGCTATTGTGTTCTACCTCAGTGTGTTCGTAATTGTCATGCTTGGCACTCAAATCTCCACTAAAGGGTGTTATCCTTTTGTTGCAGGCGTATATGCTATCTATAGTCTCAGTTCTTATGGTGACGACTCGTCTCTACACCTACTCCCATGTTTAGTAATCTTGTCTCTCCTGATGTATTTATTTCTAATGATCATCTTCTTATTAGAGATATAATTGTTCTAAACTCTATTTTTGTTGCATCTGATGTTAGCATTTTTAATATAGACGAGCTCATGGAAAAGAAGTTTACAACAAATATATGCTCTAAAAGGAACAAAAACCAAAAATTAATGCATCCATAGGTTCCAAATTAGACGATTTTAATGTGGCTATTGGGGTTCTTCACTTCTTTTGGACTTGATGTATTCCGTTTTTAATTCTTGGTTTCATTTAGTAATGCTTTGTCATTGCTTCGTGTTGCACTCTTTTATTTGTGGGGACTCCTTGACAAAAGGTGACACACCCCAGCTAACCTTCCCTTTAGAGTTAATCATGATGTGGCACAGGAGGACAACTCAATCGGATCAAACTATCATCGAAACTCGTCTTGACTTGCATAATCAGAACCCATTGGGTAATAATCAGTCAAACTCAATAATCGCAAATATTCATAATCCATTTCAATTCATAATTTATATACAATCTCATATACTCAGAAGCACGGAAAATCATATCATTAAAATATTACTAAAGTTGCTAAATCCAACATATATAAAAATATGTATCCAAAAATATGTACAACCTTCAAAACTATAGAATGCAAAAGTTGTATGACATCAAAACTGGCTACTAGCACTGGTGCTCCTTACCCCTTCTTAAAATTCAACATATAAGAATATGCTACAAGCTCTGCAAAATAATCAAGGCTAAAGAAAAATTTTATAGGCGAAAAAAAAATGCGTGCATGATCATTTGTAGCTCATATGCATGACAGTAAAACATATCACAAAATGTTTTAATCAATTAAAACATCTAAAGAATATATGAAATGCAGAAAATCATGACAATTGATAAAACACGTGTTTCATTCATTCATATCATTTCAAAAACATACAGATAGGAAGAAGCAGAACTAAACTGACCCGTAAGCAGAACTAAAGTGGCCCGTCCTTAGCTACTTATTTTCTGAATATTATAAATTTTTTGAGTATATCTGTATCGTTTTGTTGGAGCATTACTATACTTGGTATCGTATGGGCAGGGTGCCTCTATTGGGTCCTCTCATACAACCTTTATGTATCTTTTCTATTTCAATAAAATCAGCACTTGGGCAGAAGAATTTCATAATCAATCATTGTAATCATAGAAATGTCATTTGTAATTGTATAAATATTGACTACTTTCATGTCATTTCATGGCAGATCATCACCCAGCCCAAATACTAAATTAATTTTTGATAAAGATTGGGTCCCTCCCAACATAGTAGTTATCAATAGCCCTCATGATACTAACACTCTAATTTTTCGTCTCCATCTGATCCCAATAGTTCAAGGATTCATCTCCGTCTAAATACCAGAAGTCGGAAATTTCATTGTTTTCTATCATTTGTACTTACAAGCATTTACATAATAGTCTACCTATCGCAATGCTTGTGAAATTTCTTGTAAGCATAATCATCTTAAGCAAATCATGTATCATATACATAAACAATATTATATGAATATCTGCAAATGATAATTTCATAATATGCCCATCCTAAAATTAACACTATCAATTCAATCTTGCAATCGTGCTAACATATGCAGGCATTCATAATATGAAGAAATTCTAAATGTGATTGAATGTCAAAAGGAATTACATAGAAATCCTATAGAAATTTATTATTCATAATTTAAAACAAGATTATTTCACTTAAATCGATAAAGCAGCCCTGTGATGAGTTTCCTCAAGCTCGTCACCTAGTATAAACCGCCCGTAATCATAATACTCCTTGAAAATCATGAATTTCTAGCTCATGAATTGATTTAAGGTTTGTTTGAGGCAGCTACAGCTGTTTGAAAAAACAGTTGTGTAGCTGCTAAAGTAAAAGTTTTTATTTAAAAAACTATGATAACTGTTAAAAAAAAATTTAAAAGATCATACAGTAATTTTCTAGCCGCCACCGCACATAATCAAGTTTGGTGAGAAAACGTAACTTTTCATTGCAGCATTTTGAGGATGCAAAACACTATTTTTTCCAAACATGAAAAATTGCGGTGTGGTACCGCACCGCAGCCCCAAACACACCCTTAATCTCAAATGCGATTTCACTTGCTATAACTTACCTAAAGAGGCCTTCCTTGCATTACATTATCTACCTGAAACCTTCTTATTCCTTTCTTACTCCATTCTCCTTCCTCCCTTTCCCTTCTCAGCTCTCAATATTAGCTAATATCCCTACTGAGATGCAATTCTCGATTCTCGGCTAGCTACAGTAATAGGAAACACAGAAAAGGCTTCAAATTGTGGTCAAATGCCAAATGAGATCATACGGAACGAAAGGAATGTTCTACATGTCATGAAAGTAAGGACTATGCCTTCCAAATTCTTTCCAGAACTCCAAACTATGGGTTTCAACTCTCAACCGAAAGCCTGCTTGCGCTCGATCCCGCTAGGCTAACTATCGGGATCATTGAACTCTCCAAACCCACATAAATGAAGTATCAGAGAGGGAATGGGCGAATACGAAGCATCCAATACATTTATTTACCCCCACAGTTAATCCAAGCCCTCCAAAACACATCCAACAGCGGCATGTACAGATAAGTGCAGGGAAATTTGACAGGCTACAGTGTTGGGGATTAAGGATTAATTAAGATTGATTAAAGTTTTATTAAACTAATATTTCAGAATTTATATCTTTCATATTCATACATAGTGTTATATATCAATCTGAAAGATTTAACATGTAGCATTTTATAAAATTGATTTGGTCGAATTTTGGGGAATGAGAAAAATTAGGCTATATTTTAAAATTGCCAAAATTTTACTTGTTTTGGCCAAAATTGGGTATTACAAAAGAAACCAAGTTGTGATGTGTCATCAATATGAGGGATTCAATAATTAACTGGTTTTAAACCAATTGTGAGTTGTGCGATCCTAATGGTAAACTTGAAGGTTCAATCCGCAATTTTACCTATTAAGTATTGCTAATTCTTGTGATAAACTAACACAATAAAGTAAAAAATGAAATGCAAATAATGACCAACACAAGAAACTAAAGTATGAAATGCAAATATAGACCATAAATAATGTAGTATGTACCTTCTCAGTCAGGTCCTTTAACGCCTGAACCAAAATTCCAAAAACCTGATCTTTGTACCAGGCATTGCGAACCATTATTCTTTGACCGGTCACAGGAGTAAAGGGAATGCAACTTTGTAACTTGGGATAATATCGAACACCATATCTGTAGTACGCATCAGCCCATGAATGGTCAAAAACAAATTCTCCATATGAATGGCTGCACCAGCAATTAGATACTTCAGCTACTAAATAAGTAAAATTGAAAGGGATGTTATTCTGCAATATGTCAAGCAAATGTTTGAATTTTTTTTAACTGAAAGTATTAGATGTGGTAAACCTTTTAAGATAAACAGGAACAACACCTAGGATATTATTAACTTCATCCTGAGCAACAACATGCTGAGGCAGCCATCCCGTTTCCTGAAATTAGTTCATATGGGCAACTGAAAAAGCTGTTAAGGAAGCACTAAACCAATTACTTTTCATATACAGTAATATAAACTAAACATAACAACATGAGAAGTTAAAAGATAGTTCAGAACATAAGGTAACAAAGACACAAGTCCACTCCTGTAACTTTATGCTTCTAATGTCATATAACTCGATATAAGTGGTTGGACGATGTCAATTCAACTCAGCGGCTGAAAAGCTCACGTAAATTACGTCGTGAAAAAAAAAAATACTTCAAAACCCATTAACATGGCTATGTCCTTTTTGGATGCTTCCAACGCAAGGAACCATGGCATGATGTAAAAGCATTGCTTTCTTAAGTGAATATTAAACCATCAAACGAACACACCTCCAACACCACTTCTGTGCCATGTTCCATAAAAAGAAGCGATGTTAACTGCATCACAGTCTCTTACATTGTACTCTGCTCGTCCATAACATGCCACATGAGAGGGTAATGAGAGGAATTTGACCTTGAGGGAGTGTGAGAAGCATTGCTATCTTACTAACGGACATTCATGGAAACATTTGAAATGAAGAATGCTTAAGGTTTCTTTAGTTGGGTAGCAATGGACAAAACTGCTTATGCAACTCTCTTAAATATCTAAATTGTTTACTTGGTCCTAGAAAACAGTAAACTTGTTGTTTTGTTGAAAATTTGAAGGCTCCTTTCATGATGGGAAAACTTTTTCAATTTCTTCCGAAAAAATTAGCAACTAAATCCAACCAGCGAGAGCTTCAGTCACTTTCAGAATAGAGTTCAAAATATGAAAGTTAAACAAACCCAAAATGACAGCATGCATAAGTTCTCGTAGTGCTTGGTATGAGGCTTGTGTAAACAAGCTGCAAAATAAGCCAGCTCAGAGAGAAAGTACAAGATAAATAAATAATCTCCAAATATAGGTAGAAAGTACAATCCCATATATCTGTGGAGTGTACTGCAAGCCAACGTTTTTTCACATGGCACTAAAAGTAATTTGAAAATGCAGAGCATTTGAATCAATTTTTTGTTAGCCAATAAACAAAGAAAGGAGGAGGTCTGAAGTTTGTTCAAAATAAGTAATGCAAACCTTAATTCTGCATTATAGCTAAGATTTAGTGCATTAGAGAGACAAATATTTAATCTCAGACAAAATGGCAAGCTTTTAGGCCATTCCATTAAGATGAAGATACATGGCAACTGCAGACTGTGATATCTATTCATTTGTTGAAATTATTTATTCAAAGCAAATGATGTGTGCATAATGCGTATCTTTAAATAATATAAATGGATCATCGAATCATAACACAAAATGTCAAGTTAACAGAAAATTGATTTTTATTTTCCAAACAAATCCATCAATCCATAATTTCCAGCTATACAGAGTCATGTTATTTTTTATAGAAATTATAGAAAAAACACACGAAAAACTGACAAGACAAATGACCAAATAAAGATGGTACACCAAATTAGAATAAGATTAACCAGCAAGACCAACTTATTAGAAGAAGAATATAAAGTGAGAATGTTTGTGTAGAAATGACTAGCCTTCACCGCACATTTTGATTCTTCTAAACTCGATAAGAAAGCATGAGCAAGAAAAGGATTAAGCTTTTCAGGTCCAGCTGCATCTATTGCACATGCATCCCACTCCTTCGAAGAAATATCTGATATCGATGAAACAACAGAAACATGAAGTAGCAGGGACCTCCTTTCAGTCGCAGATACAGCCTAAATACACAGGCCAAAACAAATCAATTTTGCATGGGCTAATAAAGTTAAAATGAAAATAGACTGATGAAAAAAAGACGAACAAAACACCTCTTGGGGTGACCCTGTAAGAGTGAATGTCCCTAGTGACGGGTTCAGCTCCCATTGCTCTGCAGTCCTCTTAGGTCCCCAAAACAGTGCATTTATCTTGTGTGGAGACATTATGCTTCGAGATTGTTTAAAAGCAATTTTTTTCTGTGTAGATAAGAAATATGAAGCAAATGCACAATAATCGGATCAAGTAAAATCATTGCTAGATTTTTTTCTGCAAAATGTTATTATTTGAAGCATGAAGTAATCTGGAAAACATTTAAATAAGATAAAAAAATAAAACCATAAAAGAAGAAGGAATTTTGAATCTGTTAGATGAAGAATGGTTAAGGAAAGGCTGATAAACTGGGAAGAAACCTCAAAACCAAACGTGGAATCAAATTTCTTAGAAAATCACATCTGATGCATCACATTCATTGAACAAATCACAAAACATTGACATAAGTTCCAAATCTCAAAGCACGTAAATAGTTAAGCCAAAATCTTCAAGAATTGAATCCAAGCTCATCCAAATATCACTTCAGCAAACTTCTAGTCAGGACACTAATGTCAATGAGACAAATCAATGATACTAAGAATACCTGGAAGTCTAAATGAGACAAAATGAAACTTTCAAGAACAAAATTGAAACTTCCATGAGGCATTGATGTCTAATGAAACTTTCAAGAGACAAAATGAAACTTTTGAATGTCATGTATCTAATTGTCCCTAAGAATCACCATCAACAATCACTCGACACTAGATAACAATCAATGGATACCATCTCCCAGGCGCTGATGTCTAATGCCCATCTTCTTAGTCATATAGTATCCCCTTCCATCAAGAGAGCAACAAAGCTGATTATCCATTATTGTCCGACATGAAAAATATGACATCAACCATTTGTCTAACAACCTTCACCAACCAACATTCAACACCCATATTGCCAATTCAATCCCTTCTATCAAAAGAGCGACCAAGTAGATTGTAGACTATTGCACGACATTTTACATTGTCATCCACCGCTCAGTGCCCACAACCATTCAACATTCCTTGGTCATTGATTTTTTTCCCTTATCAGATTGGCCAATTGATCTCTCAATTATCAAGAAACAATGAAGTGAACCGCCTACTCTTGTATGATGAGCAGCCAAGCACCTTAAGACTACTACCACCATCATCATAGATATCTTACATGATTCATGTATACTAACTAAATTATATTAAAGCCTTCTCTAATTACAAGGAATAGAATCCTTTGTAACCATTGATTCAAACTTCAGAATAATATAAATTGGACTAAAACCCATTGTTAAGTTTTTCGAGTAAACTCATTTGATATGAATTGCATTAAACTTAAACTTATCTGTGCATGTGAAATATTTATGCAAAGTTAAGATGAAAAACTCTCCATCTATCACCATAAATATTCCTATACGCAATTGTTTAGCATCCTTTGTGAGAAGTCAAGGCCACGAGGAACTCTGGCTACAAATTTGAAATCAAATTCACATTGATATTTTGAGCACAATTGCAACCTAAGAACTCCCTCCAATTGTTGTTCATTGAAGTATCAAGAAAACACCATTTCACCAAAAATAGTTTCAAAAAAACCAACGCAATTGTTCCTCATATTAGTAAGGTTGGCTTGAGATGCCCTCTAAAAAGTATTACTAAAGGAATATCCACATTGATATTTAGAAAGTAGCTATAATTGAAGGGAATCTTAACTAAGCTACAAATTTTTTGAGGCATGCTGCATATTGGGGGAATTCCACAAGACTTCCAAGGAGCCTTATCTCTATATAGAAGCACTCCGTAAAGCAAAAAATCTATGTGAGTGTGCTATTCATAAGCTCCAATGGGTGCTTAAATAAGTCCTCATTGAAAAGCTTCTAAAACGGCTACATCATCTATGGATCTTAGAAGGACAAATGATAGACAATGCCTCCATTTATTTAAAATTTTCAATGGGCGGGCATACTAATTTGAAAGCCCAAAATTTGCTAAAATACCACCATTCGTCCGAGAGCATTAGTCAAAACAGTAGATGAAGGCAATGTATTGATCCTCAAAAGCAGCCTTTCGTCTAGACCGGTAGTCATCTTGACCGTATGATACCCATATTTAGACGACATGGGCACTCATGCCGACCCTAGTTGGCATAAATCCAAAGCAATAAAGGTTGTATTTGTAGCCATTTTAATATAACTAATATTTGTAAATAACTTTCAAATACTTAAGACCTTTTTGACTAGTACAATCAAAGAAAAAGTCTCACCTGAAGCAAGAAAGCTATTATTGCACCAGCCCACATTTATTTTGTTTAAAGAGGTTTTACTCTTTCTTGGGTAAACAAAAAAGTAGGTTATAGATCATCAAAAATTAAACACAAGAAATGTCGAATTTCATTAAATCAATGATCCTTGCCTGCTACCAAGAAAAAAACCATCTAACAAATTTAAATAAATGTTAGCTTAACTTTTATTCATTAACCAGCATTTAAGCAATTCAATGCAATGTTCCCTTATGATATGCTTGCATTTATTTTTAGGGACAATTAGATACATGACATTCAAAAGAAACTCTTGTATCTTTATTCTTCAAATTTTCACCAATATATTCAAATTCACAACAAAATTTTAACATGTATTTCCTTTGCATATCTCAAATCATCAACCATTAAATGGTGGCACAACTATATACACAGATTCTCAACTCTTCTTTATGAATTTAAACTTCGTATTTTGGTAATTAATTAAAGCTTTGTTGCTATCTTGAAATTGATTATTGTAGCTCAATTCCAAGTAGCTTGATAAAGAGTCTACTTAATTTTGATATCTTTAAAATTTTCCAAGATCTTATCATTGTCGGATTTCATAAAACATAATGAATTATTTAAAAACTTAAACTGCTTCTAAAATATGTCAGGGGTTATAGTAGATCTTTTGCTATCCTCTTCAAGCCAAAAACTATAGTGAGAGACTTTATCATGGCTTCTTAGACAAGAGTTCCACAAAATAGTCAGCTTCTTTTATTTTTATTATATCACATCAATAATCTGATACCAATGATCTCCAACATGAATTATCTATGATGCTATACTTTAGGTTTTAGATTGAAACTAATAATTAGGAATTAATTTATTATTTAAATTATTTCTCCTTTTAGTATTTTCTCTTCAAACTATTATTTTGTTATTTATTAGAATAGGAAGTGGAGTTAGCAGAAAAAATCTAACTTAGAAATATGGCACCCAAGTTGAAATTCTGAGAAACAGAGAGTAATTATGTTTACTACAAAAGTATATTTTATGACAAAAACATTACTAAAAGTGTTAAGAGGTTGAGGGATCACCTAAATTGCACATATCTAAATGTTGAACCCTGTGTAAAAAATACCATATGTTAAAAAATAATGTGAATATTACTTAATAATTATACACCTCAAAAATAGTAAGTTTAAGAATATTGAGGAAATGATTGAAAGATCTTGTTTTTTAATTCCTAAAATGATGAATCCAATAGTAAAAGTTAGTTTTCTTTGTTGATAGAAAAGCTAGGGGGCCAATTGATCTATATTTGGATGAAAAATGAGAATAATAATCCTCAAGCAAATCCTCCCTAATCTCTACAAAAAACATAAAAAAAAATACGTTTAATGTTGCATATTTTTATCAGAATTAAATCCTACTTAATATGGTTAAAGTTCCTTCATGTATTAATATGCTTCATTATGTTGAAAATTATCGATGATGAACTTGGATGTTAGAAGATGAGGTCAGAACAATAGCAACAATGATTGATGATATAAAGAAGACAAGGGTTGAGAACAGGAGTCACAATAAACCAGATAATTGGTCAGATATTAGACAAAAAAAGTATTATAATTTTTTTTGTTAACAACCATTATGGGTCTATATTTCTAAAAACTTATGATATATCAGCCTTTGTAAAATATGCACAAGTGCTATTTCAAATATTTGATGTAGTTATCGAGGATATGAAACAGAGCTTAGTTCAAATTATCGCAGAAAAGGTAAGTGTATAAAATTGTAGAGGGGATGTTAGGTATATTTAATAGAATCTATATGTTGCTCATTATCTTGATTTAATACTTAAAAATTTGAAGCAGTTGCCCCAACATAAATCAGCTTTACTTTAAAAAAATATAAAGTAATTTTATTTATAATCAAAATAATGAATATAAAGAACTTATTCGACCAATATTTACAAGATTTATCACTTCTTATTTGACCTTGCAAAAATTTGAAGAGTTACGACAATATTTTGAGGCTATATCTACGTCAAAAAAAATAAAAGGGGATAAAAGTTTTTAAGCAAAAAGTCAAAAAAAACCAAGTGAAATAAATTATTATAAAATATGGTTCTTTTTGGCGTAGTATTAATTATGCTCTAAAAACTGTGGTCTTTTTAGTAAAGATATTAAGAATGATTGATGGTGAGAGAACTTCATTTATAGAATTTATTTATGAAACTACATATAAAACAAAAAAGAAAATAACAAAGGATTCAGGAGAGCAAGAAACGTCTTATAACAAAATATGAAAAATTATTAATGCAAAATTATTAATGAAAAATAGGATAATTAGCTACATCAAAATTTAAAAGTTATTGCATATTATTTAAACAGCCAATTCATTATGATATGAACTTTCAAGTGTACGCAAGTATAGATTTGCCCGGTTGTCCCTTAGGCTGGCTATCTTAAAGCTGATAATCAACTCAAAGACTTTTATTTGAAGAATGAAATGCTTGGACTTAGAAGAACTATAGAAAGTTATAACACCCGTCTCACATGGTAAATTTGATTCACGTACAATTTTAAATCTAAAAAATTATGACATATGTCTGAGATTCCTATCTTAATATATTTAAATAATTTTATTTTCATCTTATTCTAAAATATTGATGTGCATAATTTAAAAATTGTGTCTGAACATAAATATTTGCAGCAAAAATTTTCTGTCTTACTTGTTCAACTTTCGCATTTGAGCATAATTAGAGTATCTTCAATTAATTGCATAGAAAAATATGAAAATAATTGGCTAAAAGCCGATTAAACAAGTTAATTTATATTATATTCAAAAAAAATTGAAAGATAGACACCTAAAACAAAGGGTGTTGATTAAATGGATCTTTTGATCAATGATATATTATATGAAGACGAATGGATAACGCCAAAAAAAAATGAAAATTATAAACTTGATGATGAATGAATAACCTTTAATACAATGAGAATAAAGATCAATATCGGCGTTTCCAAATCATGGCAATTGGGGATCCAGCAAAACCTGAGGCTCCTTTTTTTATCAAATTTCTTTCTCTGTGTGCAAGAAGAAAAACATCTTTCACTGTGAGGAATCAATGTTAATATTGAAAGGGGCCAAAGAGTTACTGAATTTACAGCCTCTTTTGCTTCTGAATTTTCTAAAAAAAATACAAAACATAAGGTTGGAGCTTCAAACATTTCATGTCAGTACAGTCTTGTGAAAGCCTCACAACAAGGGTTGTGACTCTTGAATACCAATTATCCGTTTAAGCTCATGAAAAAGATGTTAGTTGGCCTCTTTTGAAAGGAATATCAGAGCCTCGTCATAAAGAGAATGAGAACCTAAAAAGCTACTCACAATGTTGCCACTTATAGGATATTTTTTACCTTTTTTTACAGAAAAATTGAGTCTTCTACGGAATCTTCTAGACCCCAAGAGATACAGATAGTAATAGAGGAAAAGTAAGAAAGGATTTTCTATCATTTTTTATGTAATTTTTTAAATATTCTAATGAAATTTCATAATATTCAAAACCTCCTCATCTACATTCCTTTAGAAAGGATATTTAAATTACAAATTAATTAAAAAAACAACAGCAAAACAAATGGTGGAACTACAAGCCACAACAAGGAGCAAGCATAACAATCAACAATAGGGTCCATCTTTGACTATTTGGGCCTATTTCTGAGCCCTAACATGTCTTTTTAAATCTGTAGGAACTCCAAAACATTTTTTCACACTCTAAACTTAATATTTGCAATATGAAACTCAAACAGAGCAATTCGAGACATTTTTAACTATCATGGATAATTTTGAACTTATTGTTTTATAATTTTCATCTCAAATGATGTGCAACTTCACTAAATGGTGAATTAGACTCAAAATAAACTTCTTAGTTCATAACCCTAAGAAAAGGTCCATGTTAATCCAAGGAGTAGTTGTACCTTGAAATTTCTCAAAAGTCATGAATTTGTTACGTATTATTTAAAGCTCGGAGTGCTTTAATCTCATAGATTTTAACACCCAAAAACTTGTGGCAATGGATTTGTCAACCAAAAATTCATTTGATTTGGATTTGATACCACTTCGCAGATTTTAAAGCACCCAAGTACTTCGGCCAAAAACTTAGCAATTGATTAAGAGACCATCCAAACTCTAGTTTCAACAATCATATAGTCTAAGGAGTAGAATTCAATGAGCCAAATATAATGATAACAAGAATGCCTAGATCAAAATCCAAATTTATCTAAATCAAGCATTTTAGAGCATAATTGAGATTTACTGAGGCATTTGAGGGATCAAACTTCCCCCAAACATTGTGTTTATATTCAAAACAAGCAATTTCATAAAGCAAATCAAATGAATCAAAGCTGGCTCAATTCATAATTCATTAAGGTACTAACATTTTCAAAAATAATAATGTTTTTGAACCATGTGATGGAGTGTCATGATTTATGATAAGCATGACTAGAATACTTACAACATAAATCTATAAATAATGCATGAATGTATAAATTTGAGGGAGGGTTAATTATCATATTTAGTAGCAATTTGGTCGGATGTTTTTAAAATGCATGCATTTTCAAAATGAAAAGTAATTGAAATGCACGCATTTTATGCAAAAATTTTTTAGTTAGATGAAAATGAAATTAATTAAAATATTTTAATGTCTATTATGATATATTTCAAATACATTAAAATGTAGCGAACATCAGCGGGCAATAGAAGAGAGAAGCGACAGGGAGAAGATAACATCGATTAGGCGGCAAGGGACACACGAAACAGCAACAGGTTGTAATAGGTGACATTAAAGATAACTGCAAAAAGTTGCAGGTCATGACTGCAAGAGGCGGAGGTGGCAACGAGCAAAGATAGTGGCAATAGGTGACAATTGGCGGCAGCCTCCATGGGCAATGGCAACAAGCAAAGACGGGCACATTGTGACGCTAGAGAAAGTTAGAGGTGGGCAGTGATTGTTGTGGTATTCAACGCATTAACAGACAATGACCACGACAACAAGTGCTAAAGGTGGGCAATGATTGTTGTAATAGTCGACATGGCAACAAGTAATGGCGTGACGTCAAGGCACGGTTGATGATGAGCAATAAGTGAAGATAGAGACAACAGGGGGTTATTGCGGGTAGCGATGGCAAGTGAATATTTTAGGTGGGGAGGATTAGGACATGGACTATAAGTTTTCATGATCAACAAATTAGCATCTTGTCAGTCCTTCCATCTAAATTCACAAAAAATATGCATTCTAGGATATTCCAAATCCCCGATATAAATGATTTATTCGTGATTTAATTAAAATCAAACACCAAAAGAACAATCAAACCCATGTATTTCTTGCACATTGCACTCCTGATAATTGCAACTAAACTATCCCTTAGAAATTCCAACATTTTTCATCATTGTCTGCTGTTGATTGTTGACTAACATTAACACCCACTGCTACCATCAAATAATGCTAATGCCCGTTATCAATACTAACAAACAATAACCAAGTACTGACAATCATATTGACTTCAAAATATCCTCCATACTCATTCCACGACTGAATTCAATCGAACACAATAAAAATAGGTGTCAACTAATGTAAAGTTGTGCAAATTCATTTCCAAATGTGTCACATACAACAAAAGTATCTAATTGTCACTTATTTCGTAAAATGATTGTGCCAACATATCTAGAACGTCAAGATACAATGGACAAAAATATTGCTTGTCATCGCACAATAAAAATTCAAAGAATTTACTCATGTTTGAAATGAGGATGCAAACAGAGCAATGAGAAAATTACATGTTAATTCACACATCAATTTTGTCAATTTTTCTTTATCAAATTAATTTTTACTTTTTAAAATAATAAACATAATCCAAATCTCCCACTATATTTTATAACAGTTGAACGAATCCCATCAATCATAATCCAGCATTGCTTAAAATCCTGTATATCTCATCCTTGCTAAATTAAGGAAAAAAGTAAACTCAAAAAATAAATAAATAAACCTATACCCATGGGCCCTCTCAAGTATTTATATCTTCTAATTCATGTGCTCGATCCTTTCTCAAAACCCTTAACTCCCACTTCTCCAATCACCCAACCAGCATCATGTCGAAGAAAATCAACCAGTAGAGCTAGAGCATGGCCGTCACCAACCTTGACCCTAATTGGAAGCTCCTTTGAAAAGCCTCTGGCCTCAATCTCCGCACTTAGAAGGTCATGTTAAGTTGGGTTGGCATGCAACATGACAAGGTCTTCTCTATCATTAATTTCTTAGAGAAATAGATCTATTCCACAAAGCCAAAGTTGCTTTAGAATTTGTTGGTTTATGCTATGTTTAATGTGATTTGGGAGGATCATGAGTAAGAGGGTATTTCATGGAGGAAAAATGTGAAGGAATTTTAAGGAGATGGTCATATGATTTTAGGTTAAGCCATGGACATCAAAATATTAGGGATTTGGTGTTGATGATTAAGTGGTTGAATCTAATAAGAGTGAATAAGGTGTTTGGGCAGGTTTGATAAGATGGTAAGTTGTTGGTGGTCATATTAAGACTGCAAGGAACAGGCAAGATAACCCGAATCTATTAAGTCTTGTTGTAGCTAATAAGGATACTAGTGATGAAGGGTAGGGGATTCGTGACAAAAAAAAATCAAAGGCTTCATATCTAACCGATTCATGGTAGTGATGGACACCTCCATCATGGTCATAGAGTGGGCGTTGGAGAAAATGATAAAAAAATGCAACAATCCTCAATTAAGCGTAGGAGAAACTAACAATATTATCTACTGCCACCACCCTCTTTCCAATGCCCTTCTTCAATCATCGTCATCGCCAACAACTCCCTTCAACCACATCTTTCCAACCTTCTCTCTCAAACTCTCCCAGTTTTTTCACTTCCTCTATATCCTGTCTCTCTCCACCTTTTTCTTTAAAAACTTGAAAAACAAAGCAGAAAAGAAGATTGTGTGCACTTTACCTCGCCTCATTGTCTCGTCGCAAAATTTGGAGTGGACATCTCAATTGAATTGTAAAATGTGACCTTTCAAAACTCCCAAAATCCCATTTGCAATGTGTTTAACATGATGAGTGAAATATGTGCCTAATTTCCTTAACATAATAAGGGAAACCCACCTAATTTGTGTATGGGCCCTACTAAATACACCAATGTCTAAATCTAATATCAAAAAACATTTTTATGTATTAAAATAAACAAACTCATCTGTCTGTGCTCAGATAAACATATTAAGTTCATAAAATTGAAATAAAACTATATATTGAAGATTAAAAATAAGATAAACTCAAATAGTGCTCCATTTCAAGAAGCATGCGACTCCTAAGAATAAAAGGAATGATTTTAAAAGCTTATAAATTTTCTTATCAAAACTTATACTCATCATGTTACATGATGATCTTAAGTGGGTCACCCCGCCTATATGCTAGAGTTGTGAGTTCCACTCATTAAGGCCAATCATCCACGTCACAAGAACTGGAGTCAATAAAGCCTATGCCCTGTAATAGGCCGAATTTTTCCCTTAGGTCCCCGTACGGTACGCTACGTCCGCTATCCAAGCAAAAAACGTCATCTGGTCTTGCTGGACCCATATTTACACGTCATGATAAAGGAAAAATTTCGCGTTAAGCCCGGCCCAACCCGACGTGCTAAATGTTACGTATTATCCTGCCTTTTTGGCGTATTCCCGCCTATTTTTGGCGTATTATTCCCTCAGAAACTTTTATTCTGCATTATTCAGTAGAAAAAAAGTTTTCAAAAAGGGTTTTTTTGTCTCAGCTAGGGTTTGGTCGTTGTATTTATGATGGAGCTAGATTTCTCTCTTAATGAAGAGTTTGAGCACATGGATGACGAAATGAATGTCAACGTCTTTGAAACGGAGGTAAGATTTCTTGCTTACTTCAACCATTTTCCGTTTTTCCGAGAGTAACCCAACAATAATCTAGAAATAACCTGCGCATAAACCCACCAGATCTCTAAAAAAAGTGAGATTCTGTGTGAATCTTCGATTGTCGTTAGGTTATTTCATCATTA